TGGGTGTGCAGACAATCCTGCATCCTGCAGTCCTTAACCTCTGTCAGCCTTCCTCATCCTCCTAGAGACCTTAACCTCTGTCAGCCTTCTTCGTCCTCCTAGAGACCTTAACCTCTGTCAGCCGCCTTCATCCTCCTGCAGACTTTAACCTCTGTCAGCCTTCTTCATCCTCCTAGTCCTGCACCCGTGTTAGCTTTCCTCACCCTCCTAGTCCTGCCCCTGGGTCAGCCTTCCTCATCCTCCTAGTCCTGCACCTGTATCAACCTTCCTCATCTTCCTAGAGACCGTAACCTCTGTCAGCGTTCTTTATCCTCATCCTCCTAGTCCTGCAGCTGTATCAACCCTCCTCATCCTCCTGCAGTCCTTAACCTGTCAGCCCTCCTCCTAGTCCTGCCCCTGTGTCAGCCTTCTTCACCCCCCTAGTCCTGCCCCTGTGTCATCTCTCCTCCTCCTCCTGCAGTCCCCTCTCCCCAGCCCCGTCCTGGCAGCGTTGCCAGCAGGTGGCAGCTGGGGAAAAGCAGGGAGACAGCGAAGGACACAGGGCTGCTCCCAAACCTTGTCCTAAAAACCCTCCCAAACCTTGTCCCAGCAGGACAGGATTCTCCTGGATCCCTTTCCTGGCAGAGCAGGATTGATGCTTTGCTCCTGACCCCGCAATGCTCCAGCAGCTGCTCCTTGTCCAGGGCTGTCCTCCTAATGCTGCCTTTGCTGAGTCTTCCCTGCTGCACCTCAAAGCTCTTCCCAGCCAGGTTTTGCTGGATAAACCCATGGCACAGCTTCACCGCAGCTGCACAGATGTGTCTTCACTCCAGGCAGGACATGGGACACACTGGGATTCTCCTCATTGCTCCCTGTCAGCATCAGCACTGAGACAGAGGGAAGAAATATATTTCCCCTCTGTGCTAAGAAAACCTCCCTGTTGATTCGTCCCCATCCTCACTCCCTGCAGCAGCAGCTCCATGTCCTCAGAGCATCCCTGGTGACTCGCTCTGGATTGCTGTCCCCTCTGGGAGGGACAGTGGCTGTCACCGAGCAGAGACTCTCTCTGGCCCTGCAGGGGAAGCTGTGAGCACAGCAGAGCCTGTTGCAGTGGCTCATCCTCATCCCTGCACCTCTGCTCAGTCCTTCCCAGGCTCATTCCTCAATGTGCTGCAGCTCCTGTTCTTCTCCCTCAGAGCACAAACTGCCTCCACACCCCCTGATCTAATCACACTAACCACTCTAAATTACTCCGGGGGAGAGGTTTGGGAGCCCCACTGGATTTTTGGGGCTTTTGTTATGTGTTCATGGCCCTTTTTCAGAGCCCAGACTGAAGTGCCTCCCTGTGGTGCCCATGGAACTCGCCTCCCAGGGGTGTGTGGGGTGTCCTGTGCTCTCCTGTGCTGTGGAGTGTAAACAGCCCATTTCTGCACTAAAAATAGCCTCTCCTCAGAGGAGCAGAGCAGCTGATCTCTGCAGCCCAGCTGCAGGAGCTCACGAGGGTTAGGTCACCTACTTTTCATTAATGGCATGATTTAATTACACCCCCCCCCCCC